TCTCTCTCTCTCATTCTCTCTCTCTCTCATTCTCTCTCTCTCTCATTCTCTCTCTCTCTCATTCTCTCTCTCTCTCATTCTCCCTCTCTCTCTCTCTCTCTCTCTCTCATTCTCCCTCTCTCTCTCTCTCTCTCTCTCTCTCTCTCTCTCTCTCTCTCTCTCTCTCTCTCTCTCTCGCTCTCTCTCGCTCTCTCTCTCTCTCCCAATCTCTCTCTCCCTCCCTCTCCCTCTCCCTCTCCCTCTCCCTCTCCCTGTCTCTCTCTCTCACACACACACGCGCGCGCGCACACACGTGTTTACTTCCTTTATTTACATGTAACGGAATGGAGACTGGTTCATACTTGTAAAAAAAAGGCAAATGAAAAGGAAAAGCGACAAGGAGTGATAAATGAGGAGAAGACAATGGAAGAAAAGGGACATAGTAAACAGAGGAGTGAGAAATACTGTTGAAAATAGAGAGAGATGGGAAAGGAAGGGCAAGAAGAAGTAAAGAGGAAGAAAGATGTTGATGATAGCGAGGAAGACGTAGAGAAGAAGAAAAGATTAATAGAATTGATAGTAATAAAGATGATGATAATAGCAATAATAGTAATGATGATAATAATAATATTAGTAAGAATCACAATAATAATAATAATAGTAATAATGATAATAACCATAATGATAATAATAATAACAATAGTAATTATAATAATAATAATAATACGAAGAAGAATAAGAGTAATGATAAGAAAGAGTCGGAGGGCCGGGCAGGACGGGAGGAGGACGCCTCATTACCATAAAAACAAACGTGTTCCCAGAAGTGCGACGTTGCCGATGTGAGGCTGGTGGAAGGAAGAGGAGGAGGAGAAGAAGAAGAAGAAAAAGATGATGATGATGATGATGGAGGAGGAGGAGGAGGAGGAACAGGGGCGGGGGGAGAAAGGAAGATAGGTAGGAGGAGGGGGGGGGGGCAGGAAGGCTGTGGGGAAAGAGGAAGAAGGGATGGGGATGAAATTTGTGGGGATGAGGGAGAAGGAGGAAGTAGGAAGGACTTGAAGGAAAGAAAAATGAGGGAAGGGAAGGGGACGAACGTGGGAAACACGATGTCAATGGAAGCGTAAGAGAGGAAAACTGAGTAAAAGACATGAATGAAGGAGAGAGAGAGGGACCAAATGAACAACGGTTTGAATTGGGAGCACCTCGTGTTGAGAGGGAGGGGGGTGGGGGGAGAGAGGGAGGAGAGGAGGGGAAGAGGGGAAGGGGAGAGAGGGAGGGGAAGGGAGGAGGCGGGGATGAACCAGGCGCGGAAATCCTCCTCCTTTTCCTTGTAGAAATGCATCGTCTGAGAACTCTGGCTGAGGTGGTGTACACGCAGATAGATATGTGTGTGTGTGTGTGTGTCTGTGTATGTGTCTGTGTATGTGTCTGTGTATGTGTATGTGTGTGTGTATGTTTATGTGTATGTGTGTTTGTGTGTGCATGTATGTATGTTTGCGTGTATGTTTGTGTGTGTGTGTATGTGCATGCATGTGTATGTGTGTGTGTGCATGTGTATGTGTATGTGCATGTGCATGTGTATGTGTAGTGAGTGTGTGTATGTGTAGTGAGTGTGTGTGTGTGTGTGTGTGTGTGTGTGTGTGTGTGTGTGTGTGTGTGTGTGTGTGTGTGTGTGTGTGTGTGTGTGTGTGTGTGTGTGTAGGGGGGGTGGTGAGCTGTATGGACCTGTATGTTAAAATATACTAAAATATGCTGTAAATGCATTATCCAGGTGATGCGTATTTATTTTATTATGACCACATTTGTATATAAAGGAATGCATCCTGTTGTATCTAACAAAGACCTGTAAAAGATGAAAGCAACCTATTTAGTTTTTGGGTGTGCTTGCCGGCAAACAAGCAATTCTATTGACCGGTAAGAGTGGTGTAATCATTACAAGCAAAAACAGTTTGCTTTTTTATTTTCATTTATTTATTGTCTTTCTTTATTTTTATTTATTTATTTTTATTTTGTGTGTGTGTGTTTGTGTGTGTGTGTTTGCGTGTGTGTGTGTGTGCGTGTGTGTGTGTGTGTGTGTGTATGTATGCGTGTGTGTTGATGGGAAGAGCCTTTCATCCCTTCTTGTTTCTTCCATTTTTCCCCTGCCTTCTCCTTTTCTTCCACTTTCCCCTCCATCTCTTCCTCCTCCTTTTTGTCACTTTTTTCTTCCTCTTATTTCTTCCATCTGCTGCTGCTCTTATTCCTTCCATATCTTCTTCCTCCTTTTCCTCTCTTTCTTTTTCTTTTCCTCTCTTTCTTTTTCTCTTCCTCTTATTCCCTCCATCTGCTCTTCCACCTTTTCTTCACTTTCCTTTTCTCTTCTCCCTATTCCTATGTTCTTCCTCATTTTCTTTGCGTTTCCTCACTTTCCTTTTCTCTTCCTATTATTATTTTCATCTGTTTGTCCCCCATTTCCTTCTATCTCTTTTTCCTCCCTTTCCTTCTACCATTTTATCCTCATTTTCCCTCTCTTTGTCCTCCTACATCCTCCTCCTCCTCCTCCTCCTCCTCCGGACGAGCCAGCGATTTCCTCCGCATTCCGAGGAAGAGGAGAAAGGGAATACATGAGGGTGAATGGTGAGGGGCGAGGGGGAGGGGGAGGGGCGAGGGGGAGGGGGTTCCCAGCTGAATCACGGGTTGAGCCCAGGGAGGGGGTGGGAGGGGCTGGGGGGTTGGTTTACGTCTGTCTGTTGGTTTGCCTTTGCCTGTCTATCTGTCTGTGTGTCCGTCTGTCTGTCTCTCTACGCACGCATGCACCAGCTCTCTATCCTTTCTTTTTTCTTCTTGTTTTCATGCCTTGGGCATGAGCAAGGTTTAAAGAGAATACCCTGAGCATGAGTTGCCTAGAGAGACGGATAACATATATTTATATATATATATATATATATATATATATATATATATATATATATATATATATATATATATATATATATATATATATATATATGCATCTTTGCAAATAGTGGGTTAGTCTTACGTAGATACGATAGAGGTGCCCGACTGCTGCCTTGTAGTTCAGTCCGTGTATCGTCAAAGGCTCTGTGTGTGTGTGTGTGTGTGTGTGTGTGTGTGTGTGTGTGTGTGTGTGTGTGTGTGTGTTTTATATAAATATGTACGCACATGCACACACGTATACGATACCTGACGTTGACTCTCTTAAAGCAATATGTTTTATAGGAGGGAGTTGGGGAGCAAGTACGCAAATTTGGGAAATTAAGGAAACTGTATAGTGTATCAATGAGTTGTTTCGTACTATTCTTGGATTTTTTTTTTTTTAGTTTGTTTTTATTTTAAGGAGATAAGAGTTCACGTATATATATTGTTTGTCTTCGCAATTCCAGGAACATTACAGATATCCAATTAAAGTGATTTATATGCGAAAGAAATCGCAGAAAGAAAGCTGACCGCGCTCAGACATTTCATGGAATACCCGGACGGTGTTAGATCAGAAGGACTCTGTTCGAAAATATTTTCGCGGTCTTCGCCCCAATCTTGTGAAGTGTAGAAGAGAGAGATTTATCAAAGGAAGGAAGGGACCTGCCGCTCCTTTCTTCCTTTTAATCTCGTGAAGTACAGGAGGAAGAGGGAGACGGCGAGGGGAAAAAGCATCGCGTGAGTGATTGCTGGAGCTCGGGCCGTTCCCCTCGCGCGCGCTCGCCCCATGGCCGCGCCGACCCCGTGTGGCCGAACGCGTTTTCCTGGCGGTGGCGGTGACGGCGGTGACGAGGAGGAAGACCTGCTGCTGCTGCGGCTGCACGGCTGTCCCCCGGCCCCCTTCGTGCCCCCCGTGCGCTCCGCGACGCCCCTCGGGAGGAGGAAGTGGAGGAGGGTGAAGAGGAGGGCGAGTGGGACCCGGGGCCGTGTGTCGCGCGGGCACCTCCTCGTTAATCCGTAACGAAGAGGAGGAAGGAAAGACACGGAGAGAAAGCGAGGAAGAGAAAAAGATCGCGAGAGTAAGGGAGTGGAAAGACGGGTGACCTCTTTGTCTTTTTACATCACTGTTGTTATTATTATTGTTCTTCCTCGGCTGCCTTGAGGCGACGCTCTTATCTCGCTGCCCTCAACCACCCCCTCCCCCTCTCGTCGATGAGTAGATAAAATCTTATCTCGGCGAACTTGGAGGCTGTGGCTGCTGAGTGGCGCTCGAGGTCCGAAGAGGAAAAACGGACAGAAAAGGAAGAAAAGAGAAGGATAAACGTAGAGAATAAAGAAAGAGAGAGAGAGAAATGGTAAGGAAATGAAGCAATGATTATTATTGATACGTGGTCGTAGAAAGAAAAAAAGACTGACAGAGGGACGGAAATAAAAGACTAGTGAAATAGTCTCTGGAATTTCTGTGCCGTAATTTAAAAGAAAAGTGAAAAATAGTGTTTCTAACGAGTAAAAATGTAAGTTGCCTTTCGTCCCACTGAAGAGATATTTTGATAACGCATTTTAAGTATATTTTTGTATATAAAGAATTAAGAGTTGGTATTTATTTTTCTGTCGTAGTGAGAAGATAAGTATTAGAAAGTGATATTCCCGAGAAGTGAAAAAAGTAGTAGGCTTACAAGGAGAGCGAAAAAAGTGATAGGCCTAAGAAGGGAAGAAAGTGAAATTGTTGATATTAGCAATAATAAAAGTAGCAGGATATATACTTGAAAGGAGCCACGAGGCCGAGGCATTGGAGCAGAAGGAAGAGCAGAGGACCCGCGGGCAAACCCATTGCTTTTGGCGCGCCGACCTCAAGGAGGAGCGAATGGTGGTTCAAGAATCGGCCCACGGAACCGGAAGTGACCCGTTCGAGTGTGAGCTTCAGAATGGTCGCCCTCGGCTGGCCCTGAAGAGGCGGAGGAGGAGGAGGAGGAGGAGGTGGTTCGAGGACGAGGTGAGGCAAGCCCAGCGACTCAGGGTCATGCTTTGCGTCGAGACCATGAGGACGGAACTGGTCAAGCTGGACGGCGTCGAGTCTGACTACGTCCTCATCAACCACATCAATGGTGAGTGGGCGGGGCTCTCAGGCAGGGGCGGCGCGTGTGGGCGGGGCTCGGGGAGGGATTGCGAGGCGGATGCCCTTCCAGACCCCACGCACGGCAGCTTCTTGTAACTGTACTTCTTTTCCTCTCTTTTGGACTTTTCGCCTTGCATCTTTTTTATTTGGCGTTACCATCATCATCATATTTGCTATTGTTATTATTATTAGAATCATCATCTGTCTCTTCGTGTTCATCATCATCATCGTCATCATCATAATCATCATCATTATTATAATCATCATCATCATCAATCATCATTATCAATCATTATTCATCACCAGTCATCATTGTGTTTATTGCCATCATTATGATTGTCTTTATGTTTATTTCTCTGGCGTGGGAGTGAGGTAAGAATAGGACTACCTGTCTTTTTTTTCTTCTTCTTTTTCTTTTTTTTCCACTTCCTCCTTGTTCGAGGAACGAGAGTGAGAGTGTCCGGGATGGTTTAAAGGGCAGCCGCGAGTGTGACGTCAGAGTATGAGGAAAGGATTAGGGAAGACGATGAGGGAATAAGGTGGGCCTGAGGAGGATTTGTGTGCGAGTGGAAGAGCAAGCCAAAGGCGGCTGAGCGGGGGAAAGAGGTAGAGGTGAGAGAGAGAGAGAGAGAGAGAGAGAGAGAGAGAGAGAGAGAGAGAGAGAGAGAGAGAGAGAGAGAGAGAGAGAGAGAGAGAGCTAGAGAGAGAGAGAGAGCTAGAGTGAGAGAGAGAGAGAGCTAGAGTGAGAGAGAGCTAGAGTGAGAGAGAGAGAGAGCTAGAGTGAGAGAGAGCTAGAGTGAGAGAGAGCTAGAGAGAGAGAGAGAATGAATAGGGGTGATAGGGGAAAGCCCGGATGATAGAGAGAGAAGGGGCGGCGACAGACCGGCGTAAACAGACAGAAGCAAAGGAACCAGGTCCTCCATTAAGCCCCGTATTCCCGAGGCGCCCTTCGAGTGAGAGTGCTCTACCGCTCCGAGGACGAGGCAACTCCCGGAGGCGCCTCTGACCCTGGCCTCCTCCGACTCGGCATGGAAAGGTTGCGCCATCGCCGCCAGCAGCGCCAGGCTCCGTTTCGACACGAGCCTTTCTCGCGCCGCGCTCGGGGGAGGAGGAGGAGGAGGAGAAGAAGAAGAAGAAGAAGAAGAAGAAGAAGAAGAAGAAGAAGAAGAAGAAGAAGAAGAAGAAGAAGAAGAAGAAGAAGAAGAAGAAGAAGGAAGGGAGGGCGGGGATAGAGAGAAGAAAAAGAAAAAAAAGTGGAAGATATTCCCAGCCTTGTTCAATAAAATCGCCTCCCTCCCCTCTTTTCTTCTCTTCCTTCGTTCGTCTGTCTCTGTCTTTCCTCTTCCCTCATTCCTCCCCTTTTTCTTTTTTCTTCCATCGTCCTCCCACATCTTCCCTCTCCTCACTCCTCATCCTTTTCACTTCACATCTTCCTTCCCTGGTCTTTCCAAAGAAAAGGGCCATTCAGTTAGTTAGTCAATCAGTCAATCAGTCAGTCAGAGGGACAGACAAGCGGATAGAGGTGCTAGCATTACCGCCTGAAGTATAAGTTTCGCTGATCAAGAATTCCTCTCAAGATGGCCATATATGTCCCGTTAGAAAAGGAGCGGGCCGGCGATTTGGTAGCACTCCGATTTTGTAACGGAAACAGAAAACGGAGTCGCACACACCAACTGTGATGTATAAGTGGTTAATATCCTTATCGGAATGATATTGTTTTTCATCAAAGATACTGAAATGTGGTGTTTCGAGGACTAATTTATGGAGGATATTCGCAATACGTTTAAGGCTATTACTCTTCATGGCTGTGCTGTGTCCTCCTTCAAAATAATCCAGTGGAATGAGTGTTGCTTGTTATTGAAGAATGTAATTGCTACGCCATTTAAGTAAAAAAGATTTCTCTTTCGAGTAATTCGAGGTCAAAGCTGAGCTGTATATCGCTTGCTTTGTTGTGGCAACGTCGCTTAACGTAGAAGCAATTGATACATAACGTATTAATTCACTTTGCATGTAGTGAATAGGCTTAATCAAGCATAAGCTTTCATCATTTATGTAATGTGAAACAAGTTTTCCTTTAGTTTTCCCTTCCTTGCAAAACAAGTTGAAACGTTACCATTGCATTCAAATGTTTTGTTTACACTCCCGCAGTAGGGTACGAGAACGACGCTGTTGCCATGGTGACGGAACAATTCTTGCTACGATACGGGGATGCTTGAATTTTATCAAGCACTTCAGGAACATGGATAAGAAAACCAGGCGAAAAGTTTATTCAAATGAGAGAACACCTGCAATAACAGTGAAACCCCAGCTTCGAATTGTGCTTCTGTGGTTGGTCTGTAGTCGAGGTCAATGCCTGGCGGTCACGGGTTGAGACGTCCCGATATCAGCCTTTCGGTGCCTGCCTGTGATTTGTTGACAGCCGTGCCACGTGGCTTCTTCGGGGCGGGGGGCCGGGGGGGGGGGGGGTGCAAGGTCACGCGGCTGGGCAGGAGGGAGAGAGAGGGGGGGGGGGGAGGTCATTAGAAGAGGGTATTAAGTCAGGGTAATTTGACGGGGAGTAATTGGTGGGGGTTAATGGTCGGGAGTTCGAATGCGGTCGGGCAGCTCGGGACAAAGACTCGGGGGGGGGGGGGGGGGGGAGAAGGTGCGCGGGAAGTTGCACAAGAGTGTCCCTTTTTACTTTTGTTTGGCAAGGTTTTCACCCCCCCCTCTCTCTCTCTCTCTCTCTCTCTCTCTCTCTCTCTCTCTTTCTCTCTCTCTCTCTCTCTCTCTCTCTCTCTCTCTCTCTCTCTCTCTCTCTCTCTCCTCTCTCTCTCTCTCTCTCTCTCTCTCTCTCTCTCATTCTCTCACTCTCTCATTCTCTCACTCTCTCATTCTCTCTCTCTCTCTCTCTCTCTCTCTCTCATTCTCTCATTCTCTCATTCATTCTCTCTCTCTCATTCTCTCCTCTCCCTCCCTCTCCCCTTCTCTCCCTCTCCCTCTCCCTCTGACCTATCTTTACAACAAGTCACGAACAACAACGACACAACAAAACACGAACAATTTACACAGAAAGTAACAAGAAATGCCTCCCAACTACAAAAAGTGGGGAAAGCCGAGAGATATCTCCCGTCTGCTGAATGTGCCCACGTCAGATAGCAGACAACACGAGTATAAACAATCAGTTTATGCGAGTCCTCAAGTACATTGAAAGAGAGAGAGAGAGAGAGAGAGAGAGAGAGAGAGAGAGAGAGAGAGAGAGAGAGAGAGAGAGAGAGAGAGAGAGAGAGAGTGAGTGAGTGAGTGAGTGAGTAAGTGAGAGAATGAGAGAGTCTGTGTGTGTGTCTGTTTGTGCCTTTCTTTGTGTCTGCGTGTGTGTTTGTCTCTGTCTGCCTGTCTTACATTGTTTGTACATACAAAGAAAGAAAGCAAGGAAAAAGAATGTGTAAACAAACGAAAGAAAGATAAATAGAAAGAGAGAGAAAGGGGAGGATAGGGAGATAAGGATAGATGATGTCTCGTTTTGAGAAACGCAGTAGAGAAAAAGTTATCTTTGATGGCAGAGTCTTATCGGTCGGTCACGGGGCTTGGTGTCTTCCACGAGTGCACGTTCATTCCTCCTCGTCTCTCTCCTCTCTCCTCACTCCTCTCTCTCTTCTCTCCTCTCCTCTCTCCTCTCCTCCCCCTCTCTCCTCTCCTCTCTCCTCTCCTCTCTCCTCTCCTTTCTCCTCTCTCTCCTTTCCTCTCATCTCTCTCCTCTCCTTTCATCTCTCTCCTCTTCTCTCCTCTCTTCTCTCCTCTCTCCCCTCTCCCCTCTCTCTCCCCTCTCTCTCTCTCTTTCTCCTCTCTCTCATCCTCTCTCTCTCTCTCTCCTCTCTCTCTCTCTCTCCTCTCTCTCTCTCTCTCTCTCTCTCTCTCTCCTCTCTCTCCTCTCTCTCTCTCTCTCTCTCTCTCTCCTCCTCTCTCCTCTCTCTCTCCCTCTCTCCTCTCTCTCCCTCTCTCCTCTCTCTCCCTCTCTCCTCTCTCCTCTCTCTCTCTCTCTCTCTCTCTCTCCCTCTCTCCTCTCTCGCTCTCTCCCTCTCTCCTCTCTCTCTCTCTCCCTCGCCCTCTCCTCTCTCCTCTCTCTCCCTCTCTCCTCTCTCCTCTCTCCTCTGTGCTCTCCCTCTCTCCTCTCATCCCTCTCTCCCTCTCTCCTCTCTCTCTCTCTCTCTCTCTCTCTCTCTCTCTCTCTCTCTCTCTCTCTCTCTCTCTCTCTCTCCTCCTCTCTCTCTCTCTCTCCTCTCTCTCCCCACCCTCTCTCTCGCTCTCTCTCTCTCTTCCTCTCTCTCTCTCATCTCTCTCTCTCTCTCTCCTCTCTCTCCCCCACCCCTCTCTCTCTCTCTCTCTCTCTCCTCTCTCTCTCTCCTCTCTCTTCTCTCTCGTCTCCTCTCTCATCTCTCTCTCCTCTCTCCTCTCTCTCTCTCTGCTCCTCTCTCCCCTCATCTCTCTCTCCCCACTCTCTCTCTCTCTCCTCTCTCTCTGCTCTCCGTCTCTCTCTCTCTCCTCTGCGCTCTCTCTCTCCTCGCTCTCCTCTCTCTCCTCTCTCTCCTCTCTCCTCTCCTCTCCTCTCTCTCTCCTCTCTCTCTCTCCTCCTCTCTCTCCCTCTCTCTCCTCTCTCTCCCGCTCTCCTCTCTCTTCCCCTCTCTCCGCACTCCTCTCTCTCTCTCTCTCTCTCCTCTCTCCTCTCCTCCTCTCTCTTCCTCTCCTCCCTCTCTCCTCTCTCTCTTCTCTCACGCTCCCTCGTCCCTCTCTCCTCTCTCCTCTCTTTCTCCCTCTCTCCTCTCCTCCCTCTCTCCTCCTGTCTCACTTCCCTCTCGCTCCCACTCTCACCTCTCTCCTCCTCTCCTCCTCTCGCTCTCTCTCATCTTCTCTCTCTCCCGCTCTCTCTCTCTTCTCTCTCTCTCTCTCTCTCGTCTCTCTCTCTCTCCTCTCTCTCTCTCTCTCTCTCTCTCCTCTCTCTCCCCCACCTCC